TTTTTTTTTGCGCTAGGTCGGACGTCCGACCAGACGTCCGGGCGGACATCCCGAACGGTTAGGGGGGTCCCGGATGTCCGATAAAACAACCTAGGTTATTTGTGAATAGGCTTTGAACCTGCAGAGCTCAACGTTGTTTGTTTTCAAAAACCTTATTGTAGAGTAGTTGAAATTTGTTTGAAAGTGTGTTAGCTTGTATGCCCCTTGTAATATTGAGATGAACAATCTTGGTAGTATTTTTCTATATAATCTAAGATCATGTACGTCGTGTGAGCAGTGGATCGGTGGTAATAAAAGAAAATATTTTATATCGAGGATTACAGTATCAACAATTTGTATTTTCCTCTAATTGATTGTGCTCTTATAATTTTGTCACTTAATGTCGGTCCCCCTTAATTTGTGAATATATGAAAATTTATTTTATATTGATTATGTCTACTCACGAAAGTCAATCATGTTTCATGCAACTACTATCTTAATCGTACTATGTTTGGCAAAAAAAATTAATGCTCTTTATAATCTTTGTGCATGGTAACTATTTCATATTTCTTAATGTATAATGTCTGTTTCACAAACTATTTATTGTGATCCTTTGTGGGTTTAGCCATTGAAGGGTTTTATTAAAATCTCAAGAATGTTGTATATGTAGTCTCCTTCTAAATTAAATGATGAACGAAAGATGATTTAATCCTCGGATTGACAGTATGTCTGTTTTTTGTGCAAATGGAACATTTTTTAATGAGATAAAGTAAGAACGAATATAGTTGCGTGGAAGTCGATATGATTGTGTAATTCAATCATCCACTTACTCAAAAATTTAGTTTATATCGGTGCACGTGGTGACAAGTATCTATCAATTGTTTTTGTGTTATCATAACGATTAATTTGAACGAAACTATTGAGGGGGGTCTATTTATGTTGCATTAAATTCAGGTTCCTGAACAATGTTCAATTCTCGAATTAACATTTAACAATCCACTTAAGAAAATATTTATAAAAAATATATATTTTTTTATTCATATAAGGTATAAACATTGTGTATGACCTATAATAAACTATCTATTTTAAATACTACCCCAATTCATCAATTTGCATTATCTCATAAATAGTCCTTAAAAACAATTGATAGAGTCGATGAGAAAAATATTGTTACCCCACTTTTTGTTCTTTTGGAAAATGTCCAAAATTACGAAACTTTGCACTAACATAGTTGTTCGTTTATCAATATTCTGTCTACTTTTGTCTGAGTTTTTGACAGACTTATAATTGTTGATATATAATTTCTTTTTGTATTATTTATTAGTGATCTTTTGTGTGTCACTTGTTGATACCTATCCCTTTCATATTCTAAAAAAAATATGAAAATATTTTAAATGTGTCATGAAGCGGTAGTATTACAAAAATATAAAGATGACAATAAGAAACAATTATAAGGTAATGGGGAAATGAGACAGGTGAAGACGATATGGATGAGTATATAATATATCAAAATTCAAAGATAATTATAAATTATAATCAATAAATCTGTTATTTTATGAGTCATCGAAGCTGGCAAGGGGTGAAGTAGCAAAGATGTTGAATCGACTGTCGATTTATTACAAAAAATTCTCCACTTAAATATGGAGTCAACAGGGATGCTGAAGTACAAAATTAAGCAAATAAACAAGTGGGTGAAGACAAAAGGAAACAGAAGTTGGTGAGGGCAGTGTTTGAGATAAAAGAAATGTTTAGTCAGTTACCCAATGAATCGATCTTGGTTATGCGACACTGACTATTAGATTTGTACAAAGAGAAATGTAAGGTATTATTCCGCATAAGGAAGAGGGAAAAGAGCGTGGTGTTTGCAGTGAGTTGAGGATTGATAATTATTTATGGATGAAAGAGAGCTTTGAATTTATTAGGGCAATGATTGAGTTTAAATTAAGACATGCATTTTTAGTTATGTTGGGAAGGTTGATTAACAACATGTAGGAATATAAATGAGGAAAAGTAACAACCCTATATTGATATGCATTTGTGTATGATGAACGAGATTAATTTTATGCAAAGCCTAAAAATAGATAAAAATCATGTACGAGGTAGTCGATTAAATGACAACATCACCATTTTTATGTAGTTTAAGACGAAAAAACAATACATATACAATGGTTGGAAAACGCACTGGTCGTTCAAGATTGAGAAAATATAAATTACATAACTTATATATATGTATATCTACGTAACACCGTACTCGCGTTTGGAGACCAATACGAATATGTTCGCCCGAACGTGGACAAACACCCAAAAACCTCCGAACACGAACATAAAAAATATTTATATAAAAACAAACATTCTCAGAAACATCAGAAAACAATACATGTTATGTAAAATAACAATCCAGGTTACTTTTGGCTTGGAGTCATATTCAAATTCGTAACAATCATGAGTTAGAAATAAAAAATCTAAAAACAATATATATATATATATAATTATATTATTATATATATATATATACAAGGTTGCCAGGCCGAACGTACAGAGGCCCCTAAGCTGACCCCCGAACGTTCGGGCGTTCGGGTCCACGTACGGGGGTCGAACCTGAAGGGGTTCGGACCCCGCAAAAAATTGTTTTGACACCTAAATATTATTATTTTTTTCTGAAACGTTTTATGTGAGTTCTTTGTGATGTAAGGTATTTCCCTCTTCATTTTGAAGCCGTTTTGTTCTACCAAACAAAAACGAAAAATCGACAAAGATGGTGGTGTCAAAACTTGTTTGCCTACTCACTAATTTGTTCTTTCACTCTTTTCAGTTTTTGTTTTTCCTTTCTTTCGGGGCATGAAAAAAATTATATTTTTTTCTAACTTTATTTGTATATTCTTTATTATGTAAGATACACATATATAAATTTTCATGGCATTTGTCACAGCCAAAAAAAATAAAAAATCACCAAAGATGGTGGTGTCCAAAGCGTGCTCGCCCACTCAATAATTTCATTCTCATTTTAGTTTTTTTAATTTTTATTATTATTATTTATTTTTAGTATTTGATTTTTATTTTAAATTTGGTAAATAATTTAGATATAACGTTGAGGCAAATGTTGTTTAGTTTATTTATCTGTATAACATATTGTGTTTTCAGAGTTTTTGGATGTCTTTTTTTTTTTTTTTTTTTTTTTTTTTTTTTGGTCCGCGTTCGGCCAAACAGCGGAACACGTTGAGAGGAGGTGCCGAACGTTCGGGCGTTCGGCCCGTCCCGAACGTTGGCAACCTTGTATATATATATAAATATATATATATATATATATATATATATATATACAGGGTCACCAGCCCGTACGTACGGAGATCCTCGGGCAGACCTCCGTAAGTACGGGCGTTCGAGGTCCCGTACGGGGTCCGAACCCGACGAAGTTCGGCCCCTGCCAAAAATTATTTAAAGGCCTAAAAATAATAATTTTTTTTCTGAATTGTTTTTTTGTGAGTTCTCTATGACGTGAGGTACATGCCTGTAAATTTTCAAGTTATTTGGCTAAGCCAAATAAGAATTAAAAATCGCCAAAGATGGCGGTGTCAAAACGTGCTCGCCCACATATTTTTTTACATTTTACTTTTTGTTTTCACTTTAGTTCGGGGTCTAAACAATTTTATTATTTTTTGAAACTTTTTTTGTGGGTTTTGCATTATGTGAAGTACACATCTGTAAATTTTCAGGGCATTGAGCTATGCCAGACAAAGATGAAAAATCGCCAAAGATTGTGGTGTCAAAAACATGCTCGCGCACTCACTAGATTTAATTCTTTTTATTTTTAATTATTTTTATTATTAGTATTTATTTTTAGTATTTTATTTTTATTTCTAATTTGGTAAGGAATTCGGATGTAATGCTCAGGCAAATCTTGTTTAATTTATTTTTCTCCATAAGATATCTTTTTCTCTATAATTTGGTAAGGAATTCGGATATGGATAGGGTCCAGTTGAGTAGGGTCAGGTGCTTCGATTCTTTGATATTTGTTGTCTGTGTGTATTTTGTTCTAGGATCAGTTTGATCGACCCAGTACGGGTGTTGAACTCTGACAGAGTACAGATAATGTGACAGATGGTTTGCCCCGCTTTGATTTATGTTTTGTATTTTTTTGAAGTCCAGGTAGTTTCGCTGTTTCAGGGCTTGAACTGCGAACCTTACGACTGTTGGGAGTTGCTTTAAAGGTTGTGAAGTCCTGTCGGTTACTGGGTTTGAACTGTGAATCATATGTTTGTAAGATAGGTGGCCTTTGGTTCTGACCGTACGAGAACCTTCGAAGCAACTGGTCTTGTCTTTCCGACCTTTTGCAAGTACCTGGACACCACTATGAGTAGTAGACCGGTAGTTGACCGTTTTTTCGACCAGTTATTGTACCTCGGTGGAAGTTTTTTAGCCTTATTTTGGTAGCAAGGTTGGTCCCTTTCGATTCTCGAGGGAGTCTGACCTCAACTTTTTCATAAATACGTAGCGCTCGTCGGATATGACCTCTTGGGTTCCCGCAGTGACGGCACGACCGTCACGACGGGGTAGTTAGTGGTACGGAAGACAGTTTTGGGATTAACGGAAAGTGAAGTGGAAACCCTGGTTTTTCTCGTACGTTGTTTACGTGTCAATCTTTGACAGTGTGCTTACATCACTGCGTGCTTCACACTCTGTGTGTCTTACCATTGTGTATGTCAAACTCACGTTTCCTAACTATCATACCTTATCATCGCGTACGTGAACTTGTCTGGGGAAGCTTACCGGATTAAAGTGAGCGTAAGGTTCCTCGTACTATAACGTTACGGCTCTCAACCGTACGTTATCAATCTGAAGACTGACACGCACTGTGGGGAGCAGAAGTCGAGTGTCCTCTGGTCTTTTCGGAGTGGAGGCGTAAGATTGGGCGACCTACGAAGCGGCTACAAGCCTTGAAGAACTCGGGAGGATGTCGAGCTCGGACAAACGGGAGGGTCGAGATCCGAGCTCGGATCGCCGGGATGATGGGGACCGTGACTCCGATCGACGTGACGACAGAGACCGGCGGTCGTACCGTAAACCAGTGGTGTGTTACAATTGCGATGAGGTGGGGCACTACGCTAACCAGTGTCCTCACCGCGATCGTCGAGTCAGTAGTCGGCCATCTACATCGTCCGACACACGTCGTTCACACTCGCCTGTGAGATTTGCGCGCCGGAGAATCTACTCGCCGCCAAAGAAGGATCTGGAGCTACGCGACAAAGTAGTGGAACTGACCCGATGTATGGCGTCGATCAAAAAGCACTTTGATGCCGTGCAAGCAAAGAAAGCGGAGAAGGCTCGTCGTAAGTTGGAACGTGAGAAGGAGAGGGAGGAAGAGCAACGAAGACAGGAGGAGGAAGACGAAAAAAAGAGGCAGGAGGAACTACGATGCACAGAGAAACAACGCAAGAAGGCAAAGAAAGCTAAGCAGGAAGCTACACTACGAGCGAAGATGAAGAAGGACGTGACGTTACATGCGGCTATGTTGATGAACGAGATTAAGAATGACTGGATCAACCAGTGGAAGGCGGAAGTTCTGCCAACACTGGGAGGTGGGAGATGCGATGCTAAAGGCAAGAAGAAAGTCGAGTACGTATCAGGGAGCGATTATCACTCGGGGGGTAGCGACGACGATAGCGACACAAGCGTGACTCAAGAGCTAAGCGTGAAGACCAGTGGACTTTGCATCACCGAGAAACGAAAACGGGAGGAGGACGTGCCGATGGAAAACAGTCCTCCGATGGAGCTTCTGCCTAAAAGAACCCCACGGGGTGGGACGGCGAAGTCATACAAGGCACCTATGACTCGAGCTCGGTCGAGGAGGGTCCGAACTCCGATTCCAGCGAAGAAGAAGACCGCGGTGAAAACTCCTTTTTCGAAGTTGACAAAGTCAACTTTGAAGAAGTCATCTCCAAGGGGGAGGTTGACCCCGGCCAGTCGTACGCTCGCACGCTTGCGCTACCGCGATGCAGTCATGCATGAGCTGAAGGACTGTAATGTCGATGAGCTGCAACGATACTGCAAAGATGAAGGTGTTCCCTACGTTGGGAAATTTGATGCGATCTTCAACTTGGCTGATCATCGCGCTTAGCAGTACTCCGTCACTCCTCCTAAGGAGGTTATCCGTATCACCGATTCGACAGATGAGGGGGCCAACGTTTCCGCTGATACCCACGAGTGATGTGGGATCCCCACATCTGCATGGTTGGATCTCTGCAGGTATCTGACTAGTCTACGATGCTCTCAGGTGGGTACGGATGGACGAGTCGAGTTTCTTCTACGATTGATCGTATTGCTATTGATGTTGTCGAAAGCGGTTAAGTGGTTGAGCAAATATGAGGACTCGTGGCTGAAACTTTACTTTACCCATGGGGTTGATTTTTTACGTCTGACGGGCGTAGTGTATGTATCAGTATCCCCCTACTGTAAGCTGTGCTACGTAGGTAAGACATCACGCACTTGTGACACCAGATGGCGGGAACACTTGTACGCAGTTCGAAAATGGACACAATCGCACTTCCACAGATGGATTTCTTCTTTGGGAGTCGGAAACTATGTACTACTTCCACTCGATAAATTTGAAGGTAAGGACTTGGGTGTTCTGGAGAGGTTGTACATGAGTAGATGGTCTCCTTTCCTCAACTCTGTCGGGACATCAAAGAAGAAGTCAAATAAGAAGCATCCTGAACGCACGAAGAGATGTCGAACCAAATGGAAACAGGTAGTTGATTCTAGAGGTAGGATTAACCCTGTGTGTTTTCGGTGTTTGGAAAAAGACTCCGAGTTCATCGATCTTTTTGCTTGCCTTGAAGACACCTCGAATTCGGGTACTCCCCGTTTGGTTCGTTCTCTGGGTGGGAGGGACTGGTCACCAAAATGGAAAAAATTACCACGAACGTTTGACGAATCGAAATTGTTTTCGAGATTGTCCACGTAGTGAAGTGGAAAGCGAAATGTAAATATTTGAAACAAGTGTTGATCGGTATCCTACGGAACCCAAACAGGTTGTAGGAGTTGTACAACTGGGGGATGAGAGCAGTATTAAGGATCTACAGGGTCATAAAGGATTTCTCAAGGAAATCCACAAGGAAGTACTTGCGGAGATTAATTTCTCGTTGTTTTATGGATCGTTTCAATCTGAGCCTTTCCAGTGATCTGACGTTTCGTGTGAAATTTGATGACCGGGTTGTTATTTCCGAAGTGAGGAAAGTAGCGAATGACATGTTGATGACCTATCAGTTGCTCCTATGTTTCTTGCAGCGTGCACGCAGAAAGATTCGCATCGTGGGAACTAAGAACCCCATGATAGCTGATACTTTGCACAACCATCGAGTAGCGGCTACTCAAAGTGTGCTTACCTGTAATTGTTCAGGTTTGTTTTTTCCGCGTGTAAATGGACACGTATTGTTTTGTGTTAGTGAGGTAGCCGACGTGCACCCACTATTGACTCCAACAACATCCCGAAAGTCGGGGTCGTTGACAAATTACAACTGCTCCGCAAGGAGTTGTGCGCTGGTTTCAGAGACTGGAAAAACACGGGTCGTATTCTTCCCGACTGCTCGACAGAAGATTTGTCTGCTTGTATTTCTAGTGGGGACTCTCGTTCTCCCTGTGTGACTCCAACTGATGTACATGCTTTGAAGGATCGTTTGAAGGGGCTGGTGATTACCCCAGTTGACAGGAACTCTGGAGAGTCTGTAGCCATGTGTGCTAGTGTTTACTTTGACGCTATGATGCTGACCTTTGTTTGTAACCCTGGTTATCGGATTGTGAGCTATGGTGAAAAGCAGGCACTGTGGGAATTGTGTGAAGATGTCCGACGTTTGGATCTGAACAAAGTTGTTCAGTGGGATGGACAAGGAACGTTTGGTTCGGCCTATGTCATACCCAAGCAGAAAGATCTGAGCCATTTTCGGTCCATCTGCCCGTCGTTCAAAGAGCCAATGGTTCATACAGCTCGTTTGATGAGTCGTGCATTGAACCACCTGTTGTACAACTTGCCTAGAAATTGGCATTTTAATCTGCGTTCTGTCTCGGATCTTACGAAGCGTTTGGGATCCCTGAACCGAAAGTTAGGTAGATTGGAAGGCGATCATATTATTAGCTCTTATTCCTTTGATGTGAAGGAAATGTTTAGCAAGTTGCCTCATTCGGTTCTGCTGAATTCTATTGATTGGATAATTGACCACTTTCGAAGTAAGAACCGGGATTTTGTGCGGGTCAATACCCGAGGAAGAGGTTCATCCTTTAGGACCTCCACTGGAGCTAACCACTGGAAACGTTTGAATCTGTCGGATATCAGGAAGTTCGTCCTTTTGGAAGTTGAACATACTTACTGTTTCACCACTGGAGTGATTTTAAAGCAAGTTGAGGGTGTACCCATGGGAAAGAGCATGAGCCCTCCGATCGCGTGCATCATGTGCTTTTATTCTGAATATCAAATGATTTGTACGTTGGGCAGTGCTAACCGATGCTTTGGTGCATTACGTTTAATTGATGATGTACTGTTGGTTATCTCCAGCAGACAGGAGGAGTTGAGACTTCGGATTTTTGACGCACTCTGCAACTGCTATCCCAAGAAGCTGACTCTGAAAAGGACTGGCGATGGATCAGATACCCTGGAGTTTTTGGGTTGTTTGATCCGTACGAATCAGAACTTCCCGTATATTGGATGTGTTCAACTCTCCAGAAACGAATATAGAATTTGGTCAGAGGATAAGTTACTCATCCAGAATGGGCAATCGTTTCACTCCTGGGGAGTAAGAAACAGAAGAGTGCAGTAATTGGTAGCCATCTGCACCGCATCGATCAAAATACCTCGATTCGAGCTGAGATTCCAACCGAAGTCCTGGGTCTTCAACAAAAACTTCTGAAGAAGGATTTCCTATTACGGTTTATTAACCGTGTGTTCCGGAGGTTTGGCAGTCACTGTGATGCATTCTGGCACAGAACCATGAAGTACATATGTAATTAGGTGCATGTTCTTCGGATATGGACAGGGTCCAGTTGAGTAGGGTAAGGTGCTTTGATTCTTTGATATTTGTTGTTTGTGTGTGTTTTGTTCTAGGATCTGTTTGATCGACCTACTACGGGTGTTGAACTCTGACAGAGTACAGATAACGTGACAGATGGTTTGCCCCACTTTGATTTATGTTTTGTATTTTTTTGAAGTCAAGGTAGTTTCGTTGTTTCAGGGCTTGAACTGCGAACCTTACAAATGTTGGGAGTTGATTTAAAGGTTGTGAAGTCCTGTCAGTTACTGGGTTTGAACTGTGAACCATATGATGTTTGTAAGATAGGTGGCCTTTGGTTCCGACCGTACGAGAACCTTCGAAGCAACTAGTCTTGTCTTTCCGACCTTTTGCAAGTACCTGGACACCACTATGAGTAGTAGACCGGTAGTTGACCGTTTTTTTTACCAGTTACTGTACCTCGGTGGAAGTTTTTTAGCCTTCTTTTGGTAGCAAGGTTGGTCCCTCTCGATTCTCGAGAGGGTCTGACCTCAACTTTTTCATAAATACGTAGCGCTCGTCGGATATGACCTCTTGGGTTCCCGCAGTGACGGCACGACCGTCACGACAGGGTAGTTAGTAGTACGGAAGGCGGTTCTTGGGATTGACGGAAAGTGAAGTGGAAACCCTGATTTTTCTCGTACGTTGTCTACGTGTCAATCTTTGACAGTGTGCTAACATCACTGCGTGCTTCACACTCTGTGTGTCTCACCACTGTGTATGTCAAACTCACGTTTCCTAACTATCATACCTATTTTTTTTTCAGATTTTTTTAATGATTTTTTTTTTTTTTTTTTTTTTTTTTGGGTCCCCCTTCGGCCCGAACGGCCGAACCCATCCCCAAGGGGTCCCATACGTTCGGGCATTCGCGTTCGGGCTCGGTGACCGAACCTGAACGCT